TTCATTTTTTTTTTTTTTTTCGTTTTTGACCCATCTAATCTAAGGGCATTTTGGAAATTTCTTTTGAAAAATAAATTCCGATCTTAACATGGTCATATAAAAAATGAGATTTTAGGGGGGTTTCTTTGCAACTTTTTTCTAAAAAATGTCGTCTCGGTCTCAAAAACCCCGCGTCATATCTGATTTTCTGTGCGCACATACAATTTTTGAAAAAGTCTGTTGTAAGGGCATTTTAAGGATTTGACGTAAAAAATAAAATTTTCTTTTGACATGGTCAGCTTGGAAAAATTATTTTAAAGGGGATTTTTTCTTTGTGTTTTTCCAAAAAAACATCATTTAGTGACTCAAAACAGCACACAAATTTCAGCAATTTGCACAAATCATTATTTACCGCTGTCAAAACACTATTCACGGCCGCGACGACGTCAAAACTTTGTTTTGACTTTTCTCTTCCATCCAAATTCCGAATCAAGTGATTATTGAGTTTAACTTGATTAATTTTTCACTATTTTTTCAATGGTGTGCTCGTTAGCACCCAGATCTTGCTGAAAATTACTATTTTGCCCTTAAGGCTAAACTTGTCCGGTTTTTTTTTTTTTTTTTTTTTTAAATTGCTTCCGCTATACTTTCTTATGAGTTCTGTGACTTCATGGGAAGTCACAGATGTGTCTTGGGAATGATGTACATTTTCAGAGACGTTGCTTCCATGTAAATAGACTGTTTTGACCTTAGGGGTTTCTTTTGGTCTTTTTTTGATCTTTTATTCCGTGTCGGTTCTCGTGGAGTTCTGTGGCCTCATGAAAGGTCACTTTGGTGTCCTAGGGATGTTGTATATACCTAGAGACCTTGTTTCTGTTTTCGCTTCCGCATTTCGGATCTATTATCGAGTCAAACTTCGGTTCATTACAGGACGCACTAACTTGAAAAATCAGGGCCGTCACAATTGAAACACCACCAAGTACTTAAAAAAATAGAAAATAAATGAGGAAGTAGAGAAGTGGATGGCTTTGATACCATCTTTAAAATATTAAGAGAGAATACATACAATGTATTATATTGATATGAGATAAGCAATATACACGTGTACATGAGGTTTATAAAGGTGAGGATATGGGGATAGGTAAATAAGTGTTGCCCAAAGGACTCTATACATGTAAGTAAGGTGGCGGTTATACAAGATAAAAACCCTAACCCTAATGATCTAACAGGTCCACCCCCATATTTTATCTTTTGTGTAATGTGCAAGTGAAGTGCTTGGAAAGTGATTCAAGTTAGCTTTCAAGGCGGAAGTGTGGTAATGTACCCCTGCTTTCTCACCTATAATGAAATTAAAAAGGCAAGACAAATGTGCTTGGGACTTTTATTTTTCTGTTTTCCCTCGGCTAGTGGGAGAAGACTAAAGTACCCTGACTTGCTTAATTGCATTACCGGTACTGTAAAGGAGATTCCAATATAAAGGCAACATGCACAGTATATTTATATATTGAAGCCCATTTATACATGAGCAATTCTACAACTAAGGATGGATTGTTTTTGTTGACTAAAAAAAATTATTTATTTATTTATTTTTTGGTCCACCAAAAATTCTTGTCAGTAACAAATAAAAATAATACATCTTATTTTGAGTTTCTATCATTTTTCATTTTATACGCAGTTGTCTATATGTATTTATATATTTAACTAAATAATGACGACTTATTAAATCATACTTAATACTAGTATATTCTTTCATTTCAACTCTAGTTTTTGTACAAAATCTATTTTTGTGGATGTCAGGGTTTGAAATTTAGCACCTACAAGATTGATGATGGTGACAACAATGACAATAATAATACTGATAAGGGTAATTAGTTTTATTTGTCTAAAGAATACTGTATTTTGTTCTTTTTCTTTTATTTTTTATTTTTGAAATTTTAAAACAATTTATAAAATATTAAAATGTGTAGCGAAGCCACAATAGTGAAAGATTGACAATCTACAGACCGAACAAAACACCCTAATTTTAAAGAAAATATAATTACGTATTTTTAAGAGAGGTTTATTTAAATTAGGGTAAATTGCAGTAACACCTTTCCAGGTTTGTCTAAAAGATAGGTAAGTACAACTTAAGCCATTTTTTAACAATGACACCCACTAAATTTGGAAAACTAGACAAGACACCCCAACCATAATGAAAATACATATTTACCCTATGACCAACTAAAATGACCATACTACTCTAAGTGAATATACAACCACATGTATACAAATTTCTACCTTCAACACCACCATCGCCAACATCACCCACCACTGCCCACCCCCTCTTTCTCTCTCTCCACTCATCGGTCATCCCACTCACGAGTCACCAGTCACCACTACTGTAACATCCACAATGCAAATTGGTCATTGATTCTATCGAACTCACATGCAGTTGCAGATGTTGAATCAACTGCATGTGATTTTCATTACTCACCACCACATGCTGATTAAAATCGTCCATTTCTTTTATTTCTTCTTTTTCCCAAATTGGTGTTCATCAAAATTTGTTGTATTAAAGTCCCTGCTAGCTACAAATTAAAGTCTGTTCTTCCATTCCTTGGGTCTTTACTTTATTCCCCAAACCTTCAATCTCTTAATCTAAGTAGATGTTGCATGTACCAATCAATATTAATTTTTACATGCTTCTTAGTTAACCATTTTGACGATCTTTTGATGTAAATCAGAAAACAATTTTATTAGCTAATTACCCATATGTCATTTATTTTTATTTAAGATATATCAGTTTCTCATTATTACTCTGTATTTCTTTAAAATTGGTAATTGTTGAACCAGCCTTTCATTAAGTTCTTAATTACATATATATATATAAACAACTCAATAATTATTAAATAATGACAACAGAATTGTAATGATAAGGACCCTCGTGCATGTATGTTAAAATTTCTATCCTTATCAGGACAAATGCAGATCTTTCTCTTAAGATTTCAAGATTTTTTCATGTAACTAAAGACATATTAGACATTTCATGTCACTTAAGGCTGTGTTTGGCTCATTATTTACAAAATGGGGTGTCATTGTTCAAGTTTGCAAGTCTAAGTGGCAAGTGGATCACACTCTCTTCAATTTGTATCTACTAATCTTTTAGGCAAACATAGAGAGATGTCACTGCAGTTTATATATAAAAATCTTGACTTTCATATGTAAATCTCAATTGCTATACAAATGTTTTCCACTTCTAAACTTATTGGTTACATATGACATTGCTCATCTATTTATAGCTTTATGTCTATTCTCTCTAGTTTTCTAAATAAATGCCCTTCACTAATTACAATTTTCCAAACTCTTTACCATTCTAAAATTTTCTACTCTCTGCAAATATTCTAGAAACTTTCAATTTTCTCCTAACACTCCCATATTCTGAAAGATAAACTTCACTTATTTTATGTGCAGACATTATTTTCAACACCCACATGTTGCGTGTATGGTGTAACTTCTCTTGAACTAGACGAGCGTGACAATAAGATACCAGAGATTTTAAGAGTTAAATTAAGTTGTATTTGAAAATTAAGATTTATAATATATATATATTGAATTTTAAGGGTATAGAATTTATTTATTTTTTCCGCAAACAAAAACAACACTACACAATAACAAAATTACATATGACATGCGTTACTAACATAAGGATGTTATCCAACAAACAAAATCACCAAAAGAAGTACAAGTCATTCCAAGCCCTCCAAAACATCCCAAGACAAAAGGAATTCAGGCCGCGTGATCTACATAATCTGTAAAAAGAACCCAGAAGTGGTGGTACTAACTTTCCCCACGCACCAGCAGAATAGGCTTGACTTAAGAAAGTGAAATTAATAATTTTATTAAGTTAAAATAATTACTCCTAAAAAGTGAGAATCAATGTGCATGTATATAACACCAATTAACACACTAACTCACTAGAAATACTTTTTAAGTTTTTAAAACTTACTGTATTTAGGATTAAAATATGTGTATAACATTATTAGTATTGATGTGTAAAATGTAAAGTAACTGTGTGTTATATATAATAACTTTTCTTGAAAAAAATTGAGCCATAATGGTGATGGTCCTACACGATTTTGGGTTAATTTATAAAATTCTTCTGAACTATAAAAATGTTTGTATCATCCCTTTGTATACGCGGTATAATGTAATTTTTATTTTGGGTTAATTTGTCACTCTGTTGCTCCATAGGGGCTTGGGCAACATTTGGGCTATTTTGTTATTCTCTTTGGTTGCTTGGATCTAAAATATTTGGGCCCTGTATCTGAGCTTTGTCTCTTTAGTTAGCCTGAGCTAACTATTCTTTCTGTATCTTTGGTTTTAATCAATAAAATCTTATTAACCTTTCAAAAAAAAATATTTGCCCTTCGCAGCTGAGAAGGAACCAACCATCTCTGCATTGCTCACATGGTACAATTATAGAATGATACTTGTCCATTTTGAATTTAAAATGTATAAAAATAAAAAATAAATATAAATATTAACCTGCCCTCTCTTATATATAAAATTCAAAATATATCAGTTGATATCATGCGAAGGAAGTTACTTAGAAGTTCTTTAATTTTGCTTTGCAATTTCATTGCAAATATTTTCTCCATCATCTCTGCCTCAAAAGTCATTTTCTTTGTGACTTTTTCCAGCCTCCCCTTTTGCAAGTCTAGAATCTTTCCTCCATCTCCACCTCAAAGTCATATTGTAGGTGACCATTTTCATACCTCCCTTTCTATAGACTCCCACAATCTTGGAGAGAAATTAAGAAACCAGAGAGAGAGAGAGAGAGAGAGAGAGAGAGAGAGAGAGAGAGAGAGAGATTTCATTGTTGGCTCAAAATAATTTCCAAGAAAACACAACATAACTTCCAAGAAGAAAATTTGATTATTTTGCAACCGTCAAGGGAATTGCCAAGTCCTCGTACATCCAAATATATATAAATATAAACATTCTCCAAGCATTCCTTTCATCACCCAATAATACTCTCTCTCTCTCTCTCTCTCTCTCTCTCTCTCTCTCTCTCTCTCTCTCTGTCTCTCTCTCTCACACACACACACAATGGAATGGACACCAACAAAGAACATCTCATCTGTACTTCTATTTTTCTTCAGGATTCTCTTTTCTCCAGACATCAAAGTCTATAACTTTTTCTCGTATGTCCAGCATTTCTTCCAAATTCTGATGGCATTTGTCTCCTCCACCAAGTGGAAACTTTGGGCCAACATAAAAGCCCAAAAAACCGAGCCACTGAACCAGCAGTTTTGCTTTCAGGAGAAGCCCAATGAGGAGGCCCAACTATGTAGTAAAGACCTAAAGATGGTGATGGACAGCTTGGGCATATTTTTATCTGTATCTGACGATTCTGACCCTTGTGGTGACAAGTTTGGAGTGGATGAGTTATCAGAACTATTTGATGAGGAAGAGCCTAGCTTGGAAGAGTTGAAGGAAACTTTTGATGTGTTTGATGAGAACAAAGATGGGTTCATAGATGCAATAGAGCTGCAGAGAGTTCTCTGCATTTTGGGCCTCAAGGAAAGATCAAAAGTGGAGGATTGCAGAAAGATGATTAGTGCATTTGATGAAAATGGTGATGGAATCATTGATTTTGATGAGTTTCTGAAATTTATGGAGATATGTAATACCTAAAAATACATACATACATATACATACATACATACATATATATATATATATATGCAGTACTTGTTATATTAAGTCATGTCTCCTATCATATGTCAGTTTTGCTAGAAATTGTGAAAAAATAATAATAATAATAATAAATAAATAAATTAGGCTTGACCCTTCTTAAATAACACGTCTACTTATTGAATTTTTATTTTTTTTTCAATGTACAATAATTGATTACAAATATAAACACCTTAGTTTTGTTGAATACTCTAAATCATACTGGTTTACTAACCCAATTACTATAATTTCCTCTTAAAATTGAACATTGAGGAGAAATTATTAAATAATTTTGGACCATCTATGATCCAGTCTAACAAAATAACTTTTGTTCAGAAAGTTCTCAAGATTGAGAGTTGAGCCCTCTTAGAAACATTGTGTGTGTGTGTGTGTGTGTTTTCTTTAGTTTTCGAAAGAAAAATAAAAAATTCTCCATAACTTTCAATGGACTTTTTCACAAAACATAAATTGAGAACAAAAAAGCTCCAAAGGTGTCGAAATGTGATTTTGGCTCTTTAAACTGAAACTTTTGCACTCCACTTAATTTTAGTAATGTCATTTTTATTTTATTTTTTATTCCATCCGAAGTTGATAGAATTATGGATTGATCGGATTCGAGCAGATTCACGCTTGGCCTGCCATCAATTCGATACAATTATTTATTGATTCAATCTAATCAGATAATTAGATCAAATTATTCATGAATAAAAATCTAAATTCAATTTATTATTTCTGATAATCCAATTCATCACGAATGTAATTTTTTGGTAAAAAAAAAAAAGGGAATAAAATCACATAACCTCCCAATAATTCAATCTGGTCAGATAATTAGATTAAATTATTCATGAATAAAAAACTGAGGGTAAAGTACATTGATACTTCTGAGGTTTGCCAAAAAGACACTCAGATGAAAGTTTGTCTATTTTGGAACAATAATACCCCCTCAAGTTTGATGCACCTACTAAAGACACCGCAATGGTAATGAATTGACATTTTTGCCCTTTGACTTTTATATTAACCAATTTAAATGTTGAAATGACCATTATAACCTCATACCCATAACCATTTCTTTCTTTCTCTCCTTTTTGTTCTCTCATCCTCCCAACACCACACACACACATATATATATGTATATACATATACATATATATATACATACACAAGGTGGCAGGATTGTGAATTTCCTCAACTCTCTCTTCACCGCCGGAAACTCAAAGAAGGCCACTATTTCCGGCAGATCAAAGACAAGCAGATCAGCGGTGAATCGAAGATGCTGTCGAAGAAGAAGACAAGCAGATCGGTAGTGAACTGTTGTGAGGTCCTCCCGGTCCAGGGCAAGTGTTAGAGTTAAAGACGGACCGGGAGCCATCGCTTCGAATATAGGCAGAATCGGAGCTGTGCCGGTGGGGACAGGCGCCGCCGATTTCTTCAACAGATGGGTCTAAACGAATATGGCGGATACGAGTTCGCTGTTATTGTCCTCAGCTCCAAAGCCGACTTTGCTTCCTCTAATGGGCGATGGCAGAGATGAATCGGTGGCTGCGCAGATGAGGGTGGCGGAGGAGATCTTTGGCTTTGATGATGTCGGCTGTGATGGAGGCGGTGGCAAACTCGGTGATGTGCAAGGCTGAAGACGATGATGTCATGGCTCGGCTGTGGATGATAGCGACGGCGAGATCGGCTTTGGATGATGGCGGCCGGCAAGCAAGGACGGCCAAAGAGAAAAAAAAAATGGCGGTGATGGATTCACTATTCTGTAAATGGGTCACTCTCTCTTGCTTGTTTTTTTTTTTTTTTTTTTTGGTTTGGCTTTTTAATTAATTGGTGGTGATGATTGGTGGTGAGGAGTGAAGGCTAACGATGAATCAATAGCGAAAATAAATTGGGGTGGTTGTTAGGGTGGAGATGGTGGTGGCTATGGATTTTGGTGTGGTGGTGGCGCCAAAATTAGTTGTAGGGTTTTTAGATTGATTGGGTGCTGAGAGTAATTTGGTCATTTAAGTATTTTGATATTTTATAATTAAAAATAATAAAATAGTGAAGGATAAAATGGACTTTTTACATGTTTTAAGGTTGTGTTTGGATGACAAATTTCACAAGGGGGTGTGGTTGTCGCAAAATAGGCAAACTTTCATTTGAGTGTTCTTTTACCAAATCTCAGGGGGTGTCTCTGTACTTTACCCAAAATCTAAATTCAATTTATTATTTCTGATAATCCAATTCATCAAGGGTATAATTTTTTGTTAAAAAAAATGGTAAAATCACGTAACTCCCTTTTACTATCATTTTCGTGCATAAAAAAATCACACTAAAATTAAACACCCACTTCAACTATAAAAACGTTATCACATTGCTTCATTTTTATTCGAATCCGCCAAGTCAGTGTGAATTGACAAATTTAACCTTATTATATAATTAATATGAAATTTAAAAACATATTAATTATTATTTTGCAAATTACAAATTTAACCTTATAGAGAGAGAGCGAGCGAGCTCAATAATGGTTTTTCAATCGCCTCCACACTCACATCCTATTATTCATATTCTTCTCTATCTTCAGTCAGCAATGGCATCTTTCCAAGCAACATCAACCACTCGTGTATCAATTTATATATCAACACACTACCAGGGGCGGATTTAGTATTAGCCCACCCTATTGACAATTCCTGGATCCGCCCTTACACACTACTCATCAATCACATGATTCATATATACATATATATATAAGTGTGTGTGTGTCTATATAGATGTAGATTGTCAAAGAATCGGTGTACATGATTAATTGGCATCGGAGGAGCAATACTGAAAGAGTGGATGAAGACGACCCACTTAAGGGTATGACGTGAACTCTTTTCGCTCCTGCAAAGGCTTTGAGGATGGCTTAATTCACTGTGAAGTGAGTGAATTTGATGTATGGACAAGCGAGGTGACTATTTCGGCAACCAGTAAGGTCGCTGCTAACAACCAGTAAGGTCATCACCGGCGACAACCTCATGTTGTTCGGGGATGGATGGTGCCGGCAAGGTTGGCCAAGACTTGTAACTACCATACTAAAGGAACGTATGGCAGTGGTATGGGGGATCGATATTGGTGCCGGTGAGGTTGGCCTTGTACATCTCCGGACACTTGAACTTGAACTTGACGTTATTAGCAGCTTCGGCCATGGCGGAAAGTAAGGCTCGCAAAGGGCGTTAGGAATTGTGGGAGGGCGACGCATAGCCTTTACATTTATAAATATCCGTTAGGAATTTTAGCTACTTTGTTGGAAATAGTGGCCTAGTTACACACACAACACTATACTATTTAGAAGAGAATAAAATGGAGGAAAACACTTTTTATTTCACTTTATTGAAAATGGGTACAATACATGGGTTTATATAGGCTTCAAAACATAAATGTAAATCAAAATTAACACCCCACTAACATACCATTTAGTAGGCAAAACTCCCACTAACCCACTAACATGACCATTTAGTAGGTAAAACTCCCACTAACCCACTAACATGACCATTACTAGTTGTAACTCTCATGCCCCCCACTAACTCTAATAAAAAAAACTCACATAAATATAAAATACCAAATAAAAAAGCACCTATGACTTTCAAAGACATTTTAAAATATAATAAAGTTTAATTTCTAACACCCCCTTTAAACTTGATTTTTTTTCAACTCCAAACAAACTCCTTAACTTGTGATAATCTGCAGACTTGAAGGGCTTAGTGAAAATATCCGTAACTTGATCTTGTGACTTGATGAACTTGAGCTCCACTTCCTTCTTGGTTATGCATTCTCTAATGAAATGAAATATTGTATCAATATGCTTGCTTCGTTCATGAAATATCAATATGAAGTGGTTGCAACATATTCTGCTTCACAAGTTGAGAGGGTGATAATGGGTTGCTTCTTTAAACACCATGTAAAGGCAACATTTCCCATGAAAAAACAATAGCCAGAAGTACTTTTTCTATCATCCAAATCTCCGGCCCAATCACTATCAGAATAACCCACAAGTTTGAAATCATTAGAAAATTAATAGAATAACCCAAAATCAAGGTTACCTTTGATGTAACGAATAATCCTCTTAGCCACCTTGAAATGAGTTATGGTGGGTCTTTCCATAAACCTACTAACAAATCCAACCGCAAATAATATGTCCGGCCTTGTGCATATTAAGTATCTCAAGCTTCCAACAAGACTTTTGAAAAATGTTGGATCCACCGACTCTCCATCTTCATCTCTTGACAATTTAATTCTAACTTCCATGGGTTTGTTCACCAATTTACAATCTTCCATCTTGAATTTCTTGAGAATTTCCTTAGCATAGCCTTCTTGGTGAATGAAAATTCCATCCTTCATTTGCTTGACCTCAATGCCAAGATAATAAGTTATGATGCCAATGTCCGTCATCTCAAACTCTCAAGCTATAACCTTCTTGAAATCTTCAAACATTTTTGGATTGCTACCTGTGAAGATTAAATTATCCACATACAAGCAAACAAAAAATATATCTCCATTCTCACTTACTTTGGAGTAAAGAGCATGTTCATATGGGCACTTTGAAAAATTATTGTCTTAAAAATATTTGTCAATTCGCTTATTATTCCACGCCCTTAGTGCTTGCTTCAAGCCATATAAAGCCTTTTTCAATTTCAAGACTTTGTTTTCTTGCCCCTTTACAACATAACCCGAGGGTTGTTGAATATACACCTCTTCTTCAAGAAACCCATTCAAGAAAGCCGATTTCACATCCATTTGGTGGATTCTCCAATTGTTTTGGGCTGCCAAAGAAATTAACAATCTAATTGTTTCCAAATGAGCTACGGGTGCAAATACCTCATCATAGTCAATTTCAGGCTTTTGGTTGTACCACTTGGCGACCAATCTTGCTTTATATTTTTCAACTTCACCATTTGCATTTGTGATGTTTTCGATTTTCAGCATTTTTCATTTTTCTGGAATTTTGTCGCCGCAAGGGCATTTTCGTCATTTCACGTTTTGCGCACCGGACACTGTGGGGTGTACCGGGTGTGTCGGTGAGTTGGTTGGAGCATTTCATTGAGTCCAGGACTCTTTGAAATGCAGGGTTGTCCATTTTCACATTTTTTTTCTGTTTTTCGGACCGGACGGTCCCGTGTGGGATCCGCTACTGGAATTGTTGTGCACGGGAATTTTGGTTGGGTCCATTTGCATTTCACACATTTTATTTTATGTGTTTTAAGTGGCATTTTTATGGTGGTGCATATTCATATACATATATTTTGTGGTATAGAATTGCAAAAAAAGAAAAGAGAAAAGAAAAGAAAATTTGTGGGCCCCACCACTAACTACATAAGCGGTCTAGAGACCACTTTTTCATTCCATTGTCTCTCTCCCCGCTGGTTCTTCCTTTCCCTCAATTTCTCTTCATTTTTCTTTTTCTTTTGAGAAGCAAACTTTGATCCAAGATCCCATCTTCATTATTTGATGATTTAAAGTGCCATTTGAGGCAAAACGGAGAGGACGACGAGCTCTACGCGTGAGTACCAACAATTTCAGCTTTGAGCCTCCCTTTGGATTTCGAATTTGGAGACCCATTTTAAGGGTTTTGCATTAAACTTGAGCTAGGGGTTCTTAATTCATGTTATCTTGCTCCTTGGTGAATTATATCTCCTAAAATGATGCAAGCATGTTTAATTTGAATGTTAACTATTTTAAAGATCTTCTAATGCTTCGTTTGGTTGGAGGGATGGAAAAATGGATAGAAGAGATAGAAGGATGGATGGATGAGGAATCCCTAGGGAACGGAAGGTGTCTCCTCTATTTTTTGTTTGTTTGAATGAAATGGATAGTAGAAAGGATGGATGGGGTGATACTTTTTTTTGTTTGGTTGGAAGGAAGGGAAAGAGATTTTTTATATTTTTTTACCAATATATCCTCACTATATAAAATAATAAAAAGTAGATATCCATTTGAATTTTTTTGAAAAGGTTAAAATTGGAAATTGTATATTGTTGGTAGTTATTCATTTTCTCTCTCCTCCCTTCCCCCCCAAAATTGGGCGAATAAAAAAATATGAAGAAATGAGGGATGAAGCATCCCTCCTTGCTTCCTCCCTCTCTTCCCTTCCCTCCAACCAAACACGAAAACCCTCATCCATCCCTCCTTTCATCTATCCCTCCTCAATCCATCCCTTCAACCAAACATAACATAAGTGTTGTTTAGAAAATACATGATTATGTATATGAAAAGCATGCTTAGATGTTGTTTGGTTATGTGTAATGTGTTAATAAATTACTTGAGACGATAAAAATGGAATTTGCTTAATTGTGTAGTGTAATTTCTCTAAATTCTATGACATTGAAAGCATGTGACATATACATGTGCATTATCATTGGGTTCTCATGAAGGAAATTGTTTTGAAATGAAAATGGGAATTTTGGGGAAAATGTTTTTGATGAATTGGTTTTGTGAAAACCCGGTCGCCGCGGGGGTACCAAAGGGCCAGAGGGTTAATATAGCCTAGAGGGAATTAGGGAGATTGCCCTAGCGTAGTTGAGATAGCTGGGCCCAAAATGACACCGCGGGGGTACTAAGGGACACTAGCCAATCCTTCTCTCGTGTTGCTGCGGGGTCACCAAAAGGCGGGTTATATTAACCGTTTGAAAGTGATGGTTTTGGAATGAAAATGAGGAGCGACATTGACATGCATGGCATTTCGTTGCATTGCATTGATTATATTGAATTTGTTATTATGTTGTGTATTCCCGAAATGATATGACCCTATTTCCCATTACTCTATTCTTTGTATGGATTCACGGGGACACAAGAGGCGTGTCTTAAGTGCTACCTACTGAGCGATTCGCTCACCCCATTATATCTAACATTTTTCAGGTCATGGAAAGGAATTGACGGATGATAATCCATGACGATGGCCGCTTGTTATACGCCAAAATAATGTAGTGAATGTGCGGTTCAAGAAAAGCCTTTTAGGTCAACTTTAAATTTATAAAAACCACTACCAATACTACTACTAAAGTAGCAAGAGTGAGTAGGGATCGTCCCAAGGGATTATACGTGTTAGAATTTAACTTCAACTCTAGCGTATCACAAGATTGCAAAAGATAGAGATTGGTTGATTAAACTAGAAAACAATTAATTAAAATGACAGTGAAATAAAACTAATTAGAGTTAGGGATTTAAGATATATGAAGAGATGACTTAGGGTGTTGGAGTCACCACTAAACTTGTGTAATTAACTACTTGTTTTCCATTAATGGGGAATACATTGTTATGAACAAAATGCGACTACCAATTACAATATTGAGCATGGACCATCTAATTTATATATGAATTGTCTACCTAAACTAAGTGTAGCACAACCTATCAATTTTAAGCATGACCCATCTAAGTATCAACTATTGTAACACACATCAATCTAGAGAATCATGGAATTTGTAATAATAAGTCATGGAATATCTAAGCAAGCATAGATTGTCTAACTACCTACAACTATGAATTAAATTGTAGAACAACACATCAAACATAAGAATAAACCACCAAATGAATTGACAAATCCATTCAATGAAAACCCATGCTTAGCCATCACTAAATCCTTAATTAATCACACATAGATATGCAACCAACATAGAGAATCTAGTGTAGAGATCAATTCCCCAAATAATCACACATAATTCATGAAATTCACAAGGCTAGAACACTAATCACAACAATATATATAGATCCCCAAAAATAGAAATATAAGAGTTTAGATTACACAAGATTTAGGGCTCATCCAAGCCCTAAGTGTAGATCTAGCCAATCATAGAGGAGGTGGATGTGGTCATGAAATCAAGCTCCAAATATGGCTCCATCTTCTTCTTCTTCCTCTTCTTCTTCTTCTTCTTTGAAGCTCTAGAGATGGAAAGAGAGTGGATCTAGAGATGGGTCTTGAGATGTGCCTCCACTTCCCTCTTTTCTTCTAACCCTAATCTCTAACTTTGGTAAAAGAGATAAATAAAAAATACAATGTAAAAATAAAAAGATAAAAAGCTCCTTTACAAGATGGGTCACTTCCTTTTATATAGAAGATCATTTTCTTAGTCACTAAGTCAAGAATATAGCTTCAAAAATATCTAATCCCGTACTATGTGGTAGGTGGGAGTTTTGGGCGCGCGCGGAATATGACAATTCGCTGCTAGCAAAAGTTCGATCAATCAGAGAAAAAGTTCGATCGATCAGAGAAAGTTCGATCGATCTAACTTTGATTTTCAATCGATCCAACTTTGATAGATCTCAGAAAAAACGATCGATCTCAGAAAAAGTTGGATCGATCCAACTTAGCAGATTTTCAGCATTAGCCTCTTTTTGCTCCAAATCAACCTCTTTTTGCTCTGGATTATTACTAAGACTTAGTTTGACTCCAAAAAGGCCTTAAGAAACCATTTTTAGCCCATTTTAACATTATTGACCTTAAATAGACAAACACACAAATAAGTACTAAAATGAAAAAATAAGATAGATAAAGGTCCTAGAACACTCAAGCTTAAGAGGTTTAAAGTGCACTTTTCAGCGCTCATCACATCCCCAAACTTAACTATTACTAATCTCTAACAATAAACTACAAAGTAAAGAAATGAAATGAACAACTAAACAACTACAAACTAGAAAACAATAAAAGGATAACGCCACTTTTGTAGGGAACACGATTGCACTTAGCATATGCAACAAGCCTTTTAAACCCCTAGGTTATCCCTAATGGACGAGTGAAGTCTCGTGAGGGTTTCCAGAAATGATACCCACAAACATTAAGCTCATTCTCACAAAAGAGACATCAATATTGCAAACAAGCATTGGGAGAAAACTACCTTAAGTATGCAATTTTTCAAACATTTCTAAGTAATCTCCCAAAATCTCAACATCAAGTAAGCAAGTATGGTCCTTCACACATTAAGAAAATGATCATGCAAATCAAAACAACTCTAGAATCCTTTTGAGTGGACCGGCATCAAATATGTTGGTATTTAAGCCAACTAAAGAATTAATCACATCCTTACCCTCAAACTAGCACACAAATTTAGTACCAATCATCAAGACAAAAAGTGGACCATTTATTAAGGCTTCATTCATCTAGGTGCGCTTATTTTTTTCACTCAATTTTTTTTTTCATTTTTTATTTTTTTATAGGATCAAAGATGGAAGTATAGTGCAATGTGTTGATCTATTAAGCTTTCTACTGATCCATGAGGTTGAGCGTTAGGTCAATGACCCCCAAACCAGATGGCTTTAGGGCACTAGGTGTTCAAACACCCCTACGGACTTACAAGCTCAAATCAACTAGGCTACAAATCAAAACAACCTCCATCTAATTATTTCCCACTTCTCACCTTTTGGGAGAAGTCCTCACTTTTTATTTTTTATTTATTTATTTT